CATTTCTTAGTGAATAGAGAGCAAAATGTCTCTCTCTCCCCCCTCCCTCCATCAAGCACTACCTTCTACATGAAGCCTTCTTCAATCCTCTCAATCATCAATGTTTTAATGTCTTCATTCCCTAACTACCATGTATTTCATTACTTACTCATATTTTTTTCTATTTGTTATTCTCTGTTATTCATGCTTATCTATAAACTTGTTGTCTCTCCCTTTAGAATGTAAGCCCCTTAAGATTAGGTATTGTTCCATTTTTAAAATCCCCTGTACCTAGCATATTGCCTGACACAGAATAGGTATTTTTAAATGCTGATTGCTTGTTTGGCATAGACTGTGTGACTCTGAGCAAGTCACTTTGCCTCTCAATGCCTAGGGAACTTTCAAAGATTATCTATTGCAGAGAAGATGCAGATGTGCATTGGTAGAAGCTACTTCATCTAGATATCACAAGTCCGCTCCCACCCCATCACAAGAATTACTTACAAATGTTAAAAGAACTGATGGAAAGTCACATCATCATATGCAATGGCGTGTACTTGAAAATAGTCGGTTCTCTTAAAGAGGGAAATATTTCCCTCAATTTGTTTCCACTGTTTGGTAATAATCCCTCTAATCATTGCAGAGCCAAGAGGAAATTCAGTCTCAACCCTATAGTTCAAAAAATCACAAACTCCAATTCTGTGAAGCTGAATTAATGGGATTCTATTGTATAGTCAAAATTAAGCACAAGAAAGAGAATGCAGAAGAAATGTATTTTTTTTTAATTTCCTTGGCACTTCAAACTAACTGCACTTATGAAGTTGTGGTCAGAAGTATGATAGAAGGTAAAGCAGAGGAATTTAAGCTCTTGGATGTTAAGCCCTCTAAGCTCAATGCCAGTATGGATCTGGCCATAAGAAATGCTGATACTTTGCTGAGCTGTAGGCATAATCATTTGGATGTCTGTAATCTTGCATAGCTTTTGGTGTAAATATATAATAGCCTGTGACATTACGAAAGGTACAGACTTAGCTGTCACTGGTAACACAAGATAGATGTGTTTTGTTTATTCTCAACAATGTTAAGATTTTTCACAGTTAAAAAAAAAATGAGAGGTTTTCTGAGCTCACAGTGACTTCTGCCATTAGGCATTTATGGTTCCAAATGTAAATACCCAAAACTCAGAGCAGAGGCTGCTAGGAGCAGGTTTGTGCCAGAGATGAAATTACTGGGGCAAATATCATGGGAGAGACTGCTCAGAGCAATGAAGATGATCTAGAAACACTTTCTCTTGATTTCTTGGCCCGGATTCCCTTTCAATGTATACCTGCATTAAGATGATCCTTCTTCCAAAACCTGCCTGTAAGAAGAAGAGATACTTCTAGGCAGTCACTTCCAGTGGATTGGCTGTAAAATATCACAGACCAGTAATGGCATCTCAGTAAAATTCTAAGAAACTCTAGGTGAGCTTGGGGGAAACTCTGGATTTCAACAATTATTTTCCTTTCTCAGAGGTTTTAGTTTCTAGAATGAATGGATGACTCTCTGATACAAACATGTCATCTAAAAAGTAACACTTTCCAGGCACATGTATTCCAGTTAGCTGGAGGTGGGGTAGGGGTCGATGGTTGGTGATTTATTGTACACCTCTCACTTTGTTCAATGTCATCTTCAAATGCCAAATATGGTGGCTTCAAGTGCAATCAGAGGCTTTTTACAGGAGGTACTAATTAAAATTTACATTTTAAGTTGCATATTTTTCATAATGATTAGAAAAAGGTGCCATTGCGAGAAAAGACAGTTTAAAAGTTTCACAAAGAAGGGTACTAAAGGAGAGAGGAGAGAGGAAAGGAAGTAAAAGGAGAGAGGAAAGGAAGTATGGAGTAGTGGAAAAAATACTTTGGATGTGGGGTAACGTTAGATGTTAATTATTCTGCTTACCAATTATGTGACACTGGACAAGTCACTTAGCCTCTCTGTGCCTCAGTTTTTATATCTGTAAAATGAGAGGGTTCTTTCCAGCTCCAAATCTATGACCCATACATTCCATAGCATTATGGATGTTAAAGGCATAGGAACTGGACTGTAATTTCATTGACAAGGGGAATTCTGCTCTTATCATTCCAAGACAGAGCTTTCTCTACAACTTAAAGATTAAGACTTGCTTGGTGTAGTGAAAGCTTAAGTTGATGACTTTTGTGCAGGTTCCTGAGGAAACCATACTCAGCAATTTTAAAGTCTAAATAAATAGATTTTGATATTTGTTATGCTTTTTGTGTGGGTCTTCCCTCTATTTGTTGTTCGGTTGTTTGGGTCTTGTCTAGTTCTTTATGATCCCATTTGGGGTTTTCTTGGCAAAGATATTGGAGTGATTTGTCATTTCTTTCTCCAGCTCATTTTATTGATGGGGAAACTGAGGCCAATAAGGTTAAGTGACTTGCCCAAGGTCACACAGCTAGTAAGTTTCTGAAGCTAGATTAGAATTCAGGAAGATTAGTCTTTACTCCAGGCCTGGAACTCTATCACTGGCTACCTAGCTGCCTTTGTATATGTAGGTGTTTTAGGCTAGAAAAAGACTGGCTCGGGGTAGGTATCTTTATGGTTTTGTTTGTGTGGCTCTCCACAGATGTAGATCAGCTCATTTTAGTAGAGACCACAATGGGTTTCCACAGCTTCTCCTCCTCTTCTTACCCTCCCAGCCCCCCCACCTCCCTCTAAAAAAATTAATTGGTAGCCAACTCTGGTGATAAACTTGTCTGAAAGTAGTGCTTGCATGACAGTCCTATCACAGTAGTCCTGGTAACTAACTGGTAATTGAAGTTTTGCCAGTTTTATAGAAACTGCCCAACATGGTGCTGTCCTGGCAAAGCTTTGAGAAGCTAGGCTCATCTTTATTTCACAATGGGACTTGGAAGAATGATCTTAGCAGAGGAACCTTAAATCATTTGCGAACAATCAGGAGACTGTCAGGAAAAGAAAAGCACGTGAAGATTACTCAACAGGTAGCTCTCTTTTAATCTTGGCGATTGCAAACACTGATGCCATGACTTGAGAGAAGTGATAAGCAAGGTGATCTATCCTTCTTGCTGCAACCCCTAAAGAAAATGGTGGTACATTGGTAAAGCCCTTCTTAGTACCTTTCAACTTTGGATTAGGAACACCAATGAAGAAAAGCCTCTGGACAGATAAAAATAACTTTACAAGTGGAGTAGCTCCTTCTATTTTCACCAGGTATTAAGGCAGATGTTTTGATGAAGGATGGTTCTTGGAAGCCATGAGAGGAAGAACTGCTCTATAACCAGGAATGTCATTCTGGATCCAGTGGAGGGAACCACAAAGGCTGAACAGGTCATGCCTGGGAAGTTAGGAGGAGGTCACCAAGGACTTGATGTATTTCTTAAGTTAATGGTCGCCATGCTGGCTTTCATTTTCCAAAAGTGGTGCACACCCAGGGGAAGGCAGTTGAGTCTAGAAATCTCAAGGCAGAATTTTTCCTGACCAAATTTCCAAGTCTCTGTCTGTCTTTGTCTGTCTCTGTCTGTCTCTGTCTCTCTGTCTCTTTTTCTCCCTCTCTCCTCTTCTCTCCTCTCCTTTCTCTCTTCTTTCTCTCTCTGTCTCTCTTTCCTCTTCTCTTCTTTCTCCCTCCCTCCCTGTCTACTGTCACACACACGCATGAATATACACATGTATACATGCATTTACATATACAGCAAATGATATAATATATAAAGATAAGCATATGCATATGTGTGAAGCAGCTTGCCTAGAATAGAAGATGGGAATCCATCCTCAGAATTGGTAATATCTGGGTTCAAGTACTACTTTTTGCACATGAACTCTGTGACTCTGGGCAAATAACATAAATTGGCAGTGCCCCAGGAAATGCCTTAAGACTCTAAGTTGCAGAGGAAACCTCAGTCTGCATAGACAGAGGGAGTTCCTTCTTCATGAGCTTTCTACCTCAATTAAGTTGTAGGTCAGGTCCAAAAATAAACAAAAATTAATAGATTGAAATACATTAATAATAATAATAGCTAATACCTACATAGTGCCTACTGTCTATCAGGCACTATGCTATGAGCTTCACAAATATTATCTCTTTTGATTCTCACAGTAACTCTGAGAAATAGATGCTGTTGTTAATCTCATTTTACAGATGAGGAAACTGAGACAGACAATGGATAAATGAGCTGCTAGATTCACATAGCAATTAAGTGTCAGAGGCTGGATTTGAACTCAGATCTTCCTGACTCCAGGCCAAGTGGTCTATCTACTGTATTACCTTTGTGGCTATAGAGATACATATAAACTCTGTGTTTATATGTCAATAAGTTGATCATTTAAACTAGTGTTAAATAGGCACCTCTTTTCCTCTGTAAGCATTTAATAACTTTTGAACTGCTCATTTACCTAATGGGATATGATATCTGTCTCCCATTATTGCATGCAGACACCTGGAAAGGAACCAGAGCCTGTTATTTAATTTAAAAAGAAAAACTATAAAAAATAAAGTCATGGTATTGGGGAAGGCAGGAGGGAAGGGCAGAGAGAAATAAGAACAAAATCTTTAAGAAACTTGGGGAGATAAATCAAGAATAAAGACAAACCCTTATTTTCTTATTGTGTTATTCTCCACTCTTTTTTTGCATTTCTGTCAACTTGTCAGGAGTACTTGTCAAGAGTATTATTTTTAACCATGATACAAATGAAGGGGAAAAAAACTTACCAAGCTTGTAGATTCACATGGAAAATCTAACATGGCTGCTACTCCAAACAATGCATGTGCATATGTGAATGCACGTGCATGTTTGTATATGTATACATATGCACCCATGTATGCATTTGCTTGTCCATGTGTATATATGTATATTCTGTGTATGTATGTTTATCCGTTCATCCATTTCTCCCCTGCAAGGATCATCTGAGTTTTATATTGCATTATGTAACTATAAGACTGGATCTGCAGATAAAGGTACAAAATACTAATTTCTTCCCTTAATTCTTGTCTGTTTTGACTGCAGACGGTACCGCAGGGACACCAGCAATATCAACAACAACTGCCGTGGAAATTCGGAAGAGCAGTGTTATGACAACAGAGATCACCTCAAAAGTGGAAAAGACCCCCAGCTCTGCCACCCCTGGCAACCACAGTTCATGTCCTTCTGCAGAGACTGAGGAAGAGAAGGCCAAGCGGCTCCTCTATTGTTCGCTGTGCAAGGTTGCTGTCAACTCGGCCTCCCAGCTGGAGGCTCACAATAGCGGTGAGATGTAGTGATTTCTGTCGTGTTTCAACAGCTCCGCAATTATCTTCCTCGGCATAGAGTAGATCTTTCTGTGGCAGGGGACAAAAAGGTGGCAAAAAACTGGCAATTATAGAGGATTCATTAACCATTAAAGAATTAAAATGACAAGTGGGATGTCACGTAAGGAAGGGGAGCGATGGGAATGCTTTGCAAAGCTGTATTTCTATTATTGCTATTATTATTTTCATTGTTATTTTGCATAAAATTCAACTTTTGGAGGTGGTGTGTCACAAAAAGTTACCTTTATGTCCTACACCCACTGAGTTCTTTGGTTTTGAGGGTGTACTCAAATGCAAACCTACTGGTTTTATTTTTCCCCATAAAGTGGCCACCATCACCAACTCTGCTTCTCTCTAAATTACTGCTGTTTATCTTAGGCTGAGTCTATACGGTCAAGAAGAATTATAAACACAGCCAACCTTGATTACTTTAGTTTCCTGGAGAACCACTGAGTCATCTGTGAATGTAAATGTGGCTTTCGAACTGATACCTTAAGACTATCTACATTAATGTGTCTCAATATGTAAACCAAGCTAGAAAGAGCATTCCTTAGAGTTATCTCTCCTCTTCCTATCTCCCCAAAACAAAATTCCAGCATACCTCTTTCAATGTTAGGCAGAAAGCAATCACATTGAATTAATTCATACTACTATGTGGTTGACTGATACCCTCCTCAACATTTCCCAGAATCACAGAATCCGGATCAAGAGCTGGGAGACAGCACAGAGGCCATTCACCTCAACCTTGTCATTTCTAGCAGATGAGAAATCTAAGAACCAGTGATGTTAAGTGATTTGCCCAAGATCATATAGATGGTAAGAATCAGAATTGGGATTTTAACCCACATTTTCTGATTCCAGAGCTAGCGATCCTTCCATTGGCAGGCATCAGAGAAATGGGAGTTTTGGTTCATCCAAATGAATCCCCAGTCATGGCAGTATGACACATGGAAATGAACAGATGTAGGAAGTGTGGTGGAATACTTTTTTTTTTTCAACATGACAATGATTATCTGGGAAAGCCGGGAGTAACAGTGATTGTTTTAGTGGTTTAGTCATTTCAGTTGTGTCCTACTTTTCGTGACCCTATTTGGGATTTTCTTGGCAGGGATATTGGAGTCTTTCACCATTTCATTCTCCAGCTCATTTTACAGATAAGGAAACTGAGACAAACGGGGTTAAGTGACTTGCCCAAGGTCACACAGCTAATCAGTGTTGGAGACCAGATTTGAACTCAGGAAGATGAGTCTTCCTGACTCCAGGCCCAGTGGCCTATCCACTGCACTACCTAGCTGCCACGTACAGCGGATAGTGCCCCAGTATAGTGCTAAGTGTCCTAAATTTGGAATCAAAGACCTGGACTCCATGACTTGCTCTTCCATACTTCTAATAAGTCATTTCACATCTCTTGATCTTAGCTTCTTTATCTGTAAAATGAGAGAGTAAGATAAGATGTCTTCTGAAGTATCTTCTAGTTCTAAATCAAATATCTCATAGTCTAATGAAATCTTTTACTTCCATACCATCCCACCACGGCCATTTAGAACTGTCTTACAATATGATATTAAAAAAGTTCCTCATGTCTTTGGGCCATAGTTTTCCCACATGTAAAATGGGAGGGGGCAGGGTAGATTAGGTGACCTCTGAATTTCCCCCTAGTTCTCAATCTATGATTCTGTATTTCTTCCCAATTTGTTTTTCTTGTCCCATTCTAAAATAATCATATAGCATATTGCCTTCAATTGTGAGAAGAAATCTCCCCAGGCACCACATTTTTTCTAATGTCTTCTAAAGGATGGAATTCATTGTCCATAATTACAATGAGAAAGGGATACTCAATGATACTGGTATAAACCCAAGATTTAATAAAACAACTTTATGCTGACAGAAGGGTGCCAAGCCCATCAGCATATGCCAGCTATTGACTTTGAAAATCTAATGCAGTAATTGCCCAGGGAGACCAATTCTTTTAGCCCTTATCTGCCTTCTGCACGTGAAGTTCTATTAGAATTCATTGAGAGTTCATGGGTTCAGGGGCACAGAGGCACAGAGAAAATTTGGCCCTGAGTCAAAATCTATAGTCTACAGACACGTGGTGTGTATTCTTGTTGTACCAAAGAAACTGAAAGATAAATATATATATAGAAAGTTCAATTATTTCTCAAGAAGACTGAACCATTCACTACTCTAACATGATAACATTAATTTTGGGGAGAAGATCAATTCACCCAGCCATATCCTGAGCAGATAAATGAATTGTGTTCTTTGGGCCTGAAGTTAATTTCTAAAGGAAATAGGAATCAATCTCCAATTTTCCTCAGCAACATGTGATTCAGAAACAAATAAGAAAAGCAAGTTGCTTTGGCTCTGGCTCTTAAGATTGAGGGAGCTTGAGATGGGAAATGAACTTGCCGTAGGGGACTCTAGAAGAGGAAACTCCTGTTAATGGAGTTCAGGAATTCCCCCGTAACTTACAGTCTTAGAGATATGATTAGTGTACCGACAAGGTAAGTGAATGGTCTGGGATCATGTGGCCAGTAGGTACCACAGGTGAGACATAAACTCAGTTCTTGCTGCCTCTAGAGACAGTACTCCATCTACTTCCCAAGCTGCTCTGGGTGACAGATCAGGAGACTTCTGAGTTCTAATCTAAGATATACTACTGACTTTGACTCTGGAGATCTGGGACAATGGGGCAAGTAACTTCTCTAAACCTCTTTATCCTTCAAAGAGAGAGCAATGCACGAATGAAGAAGCATTTATTAAGTACCTACTATATACACGCATTATTCCAAGCATTAGGAATACAAACAAAAAGTTGAGACAGTTCCTGCCCTCAAAGAGCTTATGTTCAACTGGGATAACAACATGTCCTTAACTTTTTCCAAAGGTTTTCAGGAGTGAACGAAAGCTGTTATTTATATTGTTGCTAAAACAATGACAGTCTCTCAGATCTATTCCCTTTTCATGGATTCTATGGTTAGATGATACTTCTTTTACTTTTCTTTTACTGTCTTTCATTTCAATCTGAAGGAAAATTTTATGAATTCTAATGAATTCTAATAAGTTGGAACCTGTCATAGATGGGGCAAAATCTTGGCTGAAATAGCTTTAGCGTCTTATCTGTGAAGAAAGCTAAATTAATGGAATAAGCAAAGACTCTGGAGAACAGGAAAGAGCAGAGAGCTAACTGTTTTCAAGTGTTTAAAAACCTCTGTTTATTTGTCAATACATATAGAGTCAATAAGGCCTGAGTTCCAATTATGCCTCACAGACTATTTGTGTGACCCTGGGCAAGTCACTCAACCTCTCTCAGTCTCTGTTTCTCTATTTGGTAAAATGAGAATAATAATAGCATCCACCTCTAGGGTTGTTGTGGGGCTCAAATAAGATAATATGTGGAAAATGTTCTGCAAATCTTCAAGTGCTATAAAATACCAGCTATTATATGCTAATTACAAATAATTTTTCATCTGTTCTTTAAAGGAATCCCTTTTCTCCCTGCCCCTTCCCCCAAAATATATCTTCCCTCACACCTGGAACATGTATCTTCCTTTTTTCTAAAGGCTGAAATTTTTCTCTACTTTCTAGCCTTTTTTTATTCTCCAAACAATAAAACTTATTCAAATATTTCAACTGAGAGTTATCTTGCACTCCTTAAATTCTTCTTCTGGACCTCTCCTTAGCCACATACCATTCTACTTTGCATCATATTTATCTATCCACATATTATCCCTCCTACTGGATTATGAATTTCTTGAGGGCTGGGTCTATCATTTTTCATCCATGCACAGAACACTCAGTCTAGTTCCAGGCACATAATAGGAACTTAATAAATACTATTTGATGGTTGCTTAATAAATATTTGTTGAAATTAAAAATTCTCAGAAGCATGTCTGACCAATTAATAAACATTCATTAAATGCCTACTCTGTATCAGGCATTGTTCTAGGGTACTGGGGATATGAAGACTAAAGAAAATATTTCCTGTCCTCAAGAAGCTTACATTCTGTAAGAGAACAAAACAATATATGCATCTATAAACACACGCAAGACACACACAAAGCCAAAACAATTAACCTTTGTTGGAAAGATATTAGAAGCTGAGGAGACTGTGAAATTCTGCTTGAAAAGATTGGGATTTGAACTGAGTCTTGAAAGGAGCCAGGGTTTCTAAAAGGCAGCATGAAAGAGAGAAAATCTTCCAGACATGGGAGATAATTACCTAGTGGCACCAAGAGGGGAGATGGAGTACCATACGGGTGGGAGAAAGGGAGAGCCCGTATGACTGGAATGTGAGTGGGATCATGCTACCATAGAATGATAGCTTACAGAGTTAGACAGATTTCTGGTGTCAGTGGATCATGTGGATTGGGAAGGAGAAAGAAGAAAGAATTTGTCCTTCCCATTTTGAATGGAGTCAGCTACTTACTCTCCAGATGACTTTTCCCCCTTGACTTTGAGTAACCTACCACCACCATAGTCCTTTCTATGCTGTCTTCTCCCATTAGAATGTGAGCTCCTTGAGGGCAGGGACTGCTTTTCCTTTTGCTTGAATTTGTATTTCCATTGTTTAGTATGGTTCCTGACATACAATAAGTATTTGATAAAGTCTTGAACTAAAATATAATCTCCCCCTCACATTGGCTGTGTAACTATTTTGTTTGAGGAGACATTCCGAAATACTAATGTTTGTCGCAAGCACTTTGACATCTTCTTTTCTTCATTAATTACATTATTAATATTATAACAATAAATATATTATGAATATTATTATAATTATATTATAATAAGAAGTAGTTTGTTCATCGCACAGTTCACATTTATAAGGTCCTTTAAGGTTTGCAAAGCAATTTCCTCCCCTCAAGGTAGCAGCAGAAATGTTTTTATCTCCTTTCTATAGATGAGGAGTAATTTGCCTATAGTTGTGCTCTAGACCAGGGGTAGGGAAGCTGCTGC